TTCGCTCAGTGATGGACCCTGCTGCGGATGTACGAATAACTCTGCACCTGCATAAACAAGCTGGAAATGCGTCACACGAGGAAATGAGGAAAATCAGCACCGCAGGTATCAAGAGATACTTCTTTGTGAGCCTTACACGCGAATACATCTGGGTTAAATTCATTACCCGAAGCAATGCAGCGAAAGCAGGCAACCACGAACAGCAAAAACTCATCCCTCTCTTGTTTTTGTTCCAGCTCTTGCAAAAACAAGGTAACATTATGGAGCGACAGGGAGTCTGTGATGAGCCACTGCTGTGCTCAGCTGGAGACAGCTATTGAGTCCATCTCATTATGCCGTAAGCATGTGTCCATCTTGTCAAGTTATTCTTCGCGGAAAAATAAAGGCTATTCGATCACGCAGCAGCGAGTGATCCGTCGTCGAAGCTCTGAGTATGAGCGACATCTAGAGTGAAATGCGTAAAAGCGTTTGCAGACAGCTTCTGAAACTTTCAACAAGGTGCTGGTAAAAATCACGCGCCTTGGGTGAACGGATTCGATGAATAACCAAAGAAGATACAGTATCCGCTTTATCCGAAAATCATGTTATATTCCAGTTGGGGTTTTTTCTTGAAGAATGGGTCTAATGCTACGGGATAAAAAATGTTTACCTGAATCAAGGGCATTAATTAGCAGAATAGTAAAAGTTACGTACGTGTTTTAAATAAGTGTTTCCTCCCCTTATTTACCGCCCTCTTCTATACAGTACACTTGAATTGCCCGGTCCTAGCAGATTTCGCCCACTAACATCCTAGATTAGGGTCTTCCGATGTTGAACAATGAAAAAATAATTTCTCTTGGGATAATAAAAGGGAAAAGGCATTCATGATATTCATTGCGGTCGGGTTGGTTCGCATTCCTGCCATGACCTGACACTAACCCATGGCCTATATCCTCCGGTTCTCTTCTCTGACCTAATGATCCGAGGAGAGTACATTTTTCGTTAGAATGAAAAATAAATAAGACAAATGCGATATTCTGCTGACTTCGTCACTTTGTGGTTGCATGCAGCATCATGCAAATGCACACTTTTTGTTTGCTCTCCTCTATGAACTGTTTTCGGGAAATACCCTTATTTTGAAGCGTGCTCAATTTTCACACAATCACTGGAAATCGCTCTGAATTCACAGCCGAAGAGTTGTTCAAATTCAATCCAAATACATGTAGGCGAATTATTTGCCGAGAAAATCCAAATCGATGGACTTTACTTACAAACTTCGAGATTTGACTTCGGGTAGTAATTGCATGTAGTTGACGCAAATTTCATCTCTCGTCGGTACGAAAATAAGGTCTTCAGTGCAACAACATCTAAACGCCAGAACCTACAGCATTTTAGCTTGCATCTCAGATAATCTTCTTTGTCTATATAATTTATTCCAAGACGTGATTTGTCTGACGTCAGGTTGAAAAATAAATATTTGTCGAAGATGAAAAAAATGATTGATGACATGAACTTTGACGATGGGGGTTGAAAAGATCAACGCACCCCATAAAAAACCCCCGTCTCAAAGATGGCAAAAGCACAACTCCGAAGGTGTGCAGAAATTTCTTTCAGTAGATTCCATGTGAAAAACAGCACTCGTAAAAAAAAGACTGCCTTAGAATTGTAAAATGACGGGAATTTTACTAAGATAGGTTAGTAACCGAACCACCTTGAAGTTCAAGTGAACCAGACACTTCTATGAATAAAACTAATTTCATCGATTGGTTGGTGACCTTGATAAACTTTATCTTTTCAATTTGGTCAAAAAGGCTTTATAATGTCACACACTGCTTTCTTCCTAAAATTCATCATCGACTGGAATTTGCCTCACAAATAAATTACTTTTCTGATGCACTTCACCATATCACCTTTAAATATTTTATAGAGTGTTGATCTCACTGAATAATTTTTATTTCAGGCCATCATGGTAAGATCAACTTATACTGGTTATTTTCGATTATTATTCGAGATTTTTAATCATATGTGAAAAGTCAATTGTTCATCAACTCGAATACTTGAGATTGCACCATATGCTTTTTAATATGTAAACTAATAGTTTACGGTATTACCTGCATTTTGATTCCTTCTTACGAAAGCGCATATTTTTTCTCTCCCTCTTTTGTAAAATGTTTTCGGGACGCGTCATTTTAAAAAATATTCAATTTTTCACAGTAATGCAGGAAAATTTGTCTGAATGCTGAGCCAAAGATTTGTTTGAATTTACTCAGTCATGTAGGCGAAGCATTCGTCGAGAACATCCGAATCGATGGACGACTTGCAAACTTCGAGATTCGATTTCGGGTAATAGTGCATGTAGTTGACGCACATTTCGTCACTGATGGCGAATCCACCGAGTGTGATATTTTGCCTCGATATCGTCCTGTCCTGGCATACACAGTCACCATTGCGTCTCCCTTTTTCCGAAAACACATTCAAAATAAATATTTTCAACAAGTCATGACACTTCTGAGCTTCTTCCATTATTCAACAAAAATGGACTTAATGATACCCAAGCGTCAGCTATGCTTAATTTTTTTGTCTATAATGGAAATCGTAAACAATCCTATCGAATTGTAAAGCGCAAGAGCAAGAATGGAAAAAGTCGAAAAATAGTAAGCTCAAATAAGCGAAAGCCTTGAGAACAAGCTCAGACTATTGAAAGAATCAATGGGAAAGTCTTGAAAAATTAATAGTAAAATTTCATCAACAATCGAACCTGCTCGGATCTGAACTTGACCAAACCAGATGTAAATTAGCCCCACCGAACCTGCAATTTTACAACCTTTCTTATTTTGGACGAACACCTGCCACTGGCTTTAAACTAGGATTAAGCTCCACAGGTAAAACGTAATTAACTGATTTAAATTTGGTACAAGCTAAGAAAACAATCACCGACTGAGTATACTCAAGATGAGTCTTCGACTCACGGGCGAAACATGCACAGGATGCTTCAAGAAGCGAATCTCCTGGTAATGAGTGGGATAATGATTATCCCGGTTTATATCTGGTAGCTGAACCCCGTTCCTGGAGTGTGTGGTCCACACGCGAACCCCGGTGAAGTGGGTGTGCAGCTGCGACGCGAATATCGTCACCCCGTCCTTCGGCAAACCCTTCGAAATTAAAAATTGTTTGTCCGTGCTCTGGTTAAATGGAGATGTAATTAAGCGTGCTGATTCTTTCTTAATATTTTTTTTCAAATTCATTAGTTCTGAGGAGAGAAACAAAAACAGCGGCCTGAATTGCCTCTCAAGTGTGAGTTGAGTGCGATAAGTTTCCCTTCACTGACCCATTATTGTCTGGGCCAGTATTCCCCAACCCGTGGTCCGGCAGGAGTTTTCTGCCCGCCCGCGGGAAAATTTCTTCACCATGATGCATTTACAGAAGGTAGTGATGAAGCCTGTTATTGTTAGTTATCCAAAATGTTGGGGGAAATGTCAGTCGAAATTAACTGAAAAAAATGGCTTTTCTTATTGCACTGGACTCTTCAGAGAGACCTTGCTTTTGATTTTTGCAAGACATTTCAATATATAGCTGCTCATCGGTTTCTACTTGATTTTTTCAATACAAGTTTGTTTTGAGGACTTTATGGCAGGTATTTGACAAATTTTCCTGGTCTTCAAAAATTGTGTGAAACTTTGCCGGTCCGCAGAAAATTTTATGTCAATTTTCCGGTCCGCAAAATATGTTATTCAAATTTGCCGGTCCGCGAGCAAAAGAGGTTGGGGAACACTGGTCTGGGCTTTCTAAAACGCACCTTTGGGATTTAACTTGAAATTTGGCAAGAGCATTTTGGCCATCCTCTGGGAATTGTCATCACGTTCGAGGATATTTTCATGAAGCTTTCGACTCATCTGAATCAAATTGCGAAACCTGTAGAATCTCTGATTTTTATAATTGTCCATCCTGAAGAGTTTGAGACTTCTGAAAAACTAATTCGGGAAAAATGGCAATATTGTTCCATCAGGTATGTTTTTTTTTTTTTTCATAGCACTAGCATGGTGCTATATTGATACTAGTGTGCAACATTAATTTACTAGCAGCAGTCTCGCGATGGTCGACTCATTAATCTCATCGCTAAAATGTTCAGAGGATCCTAATTTTTCATCATCTTAAATCCTGCTGAAGTTTCTTCCCCCACTTGACTGCGTCTCGATTTCTTCTCTCCATTCTTCTTCCTTTTTTCATTTCCGGGCTTTGAAATTATGAAATTATACGATACATACAGTATTATACTGAGTTATTTCGGGACATTATGCGAAGCACGCAGACGCGTAAATGGGTACTTGAAGAAATGGAATTGCGCCCGAAGATCTTCGCTCTCTCATAATTGTGGAAGGAGGTTTCCGACGATTTTTTTTTTTTTGCTTGTCAAAAAGGTCATGTTGAAGCAAACAAACCATGATAACTCACAATCGCTGTGCATTCAGCGATGCAATGACCGCGCACAAAAACGTCACGCATTCCGTGAGGAAGACCCGTTTTAGGCGTGTATTCCAGCCCGACTTCCAGAATTCCTGCGTCGAAGCGGCGAATGTTGGAATTGTAATGAAGCTGCATCTCGGAACTGACAACAAAATCTGGACTGGAAAAAAGATAATGATCTCGGATGTATGAGGAATGCCATGAGCAATTCAGATCGGGGCCTTTTCGAACAAGTGGTGTACGGGATACGTTTGGTGCAAAAACGTCGGCGGAAAATATATTATTGCCCCCTTCTATAGTCGTCCCTGTCACTTAATTTTTTGTTTTAACGGAAGTCTGTCTGGATTTCCAAAGCTGTCGCAAAAACGATTACTTCAGAAGGAAAGAGAATGCTGTCCTTCTAGTTATTTTACTACAGCAGCTCAGAGCAGTGAGGATTTTCCAAAGTAACTTGTCAATTCATGCAGCATGAATCTGTGAACCTGTGAGTGCTGACGTTAATAAACAAAGCAAAAACTCGCTGGATAATAAATCCGGGTTATTGTAATAAACTTCCAACATGAGGAACGAGTTGAAATCTTCTCCTCTGATTTCCAGTCCGACATCCTGCGAAAATAAAATGAAAATGGGATCACAAATTAATCATTACGTTTTTGTCTTGATACGAAAACAAGCATGCATATGTGAATCCGGTGAGCATTCATACCTCAGGATAAACGAAATGCTCTGCTCCCAATGCCCACGCAGCCACAACTTTCCTGCAGACATTGATTTCTGGAGGCCTATCATCAGCAGCGCATGGCCCAAGATAGTCGGGTATTTTCTGATTGTACTGTATTTGGCTTCGCAGTGGTATACCTCCATATGGTGAACGAATTCTTCGTTACCTTCTTGAATCACGGGATTGTACTAGGAAAAAAAAGTATACAGTAAATCTAGGACAACGCCGTCAAATCGACCAGAACTCTTCATGCATAAACTAGTATGGCGCGACATCTAGGTCAATATAAAATACATCGGTAAGCACGATTCTACTGAGTTACTCCGGTTGCACTCCCAGCTAGCCAAAGTTGGTGACAGGGCGCGACGATCGGGACGGTGGAAAAAAGGAGCCATTCCCAAATTTTGAAATGAACCTCGAGAAATTCTGACAAGAACATCATACAGGTACAGTACTACATCTTTTATGCAATACTGTACTAAACTTTCTGCATACAAATCTTGGCATTTCCTTGCTTTTGATCCAGTTTTAATGATGGACAAGTTATGATTATAAAATTTGTCTGCATATTAGGAAACGTTCCTATGTCTCATTGACTTATTCAGCCAATAAGCAAATTTGTATACTTGACTGATATCACAGCAGAAAATTATTCTGTCAAAAAAGGATTTCAAATATGGTGTCTCTGAAAAAACTGTTGGGTTTCGAAAATATTTGTTTTAATGACAAATAATTGAAACAAGATATGTTATGACGGAATTTTAGTGTATTCAGATTCAGATATAGACATTTGTGAGGTCAATTCTGTAAGTTGATTTGCTCAAGAAATTACATGCGGTAAGTCACATGTAGAAGAATGTGAGAAAACAGATTTTTACGCTTTCTTTTTACTAATGCCACAGTGCTCTAGTTCAGAAATTCTTCTCGAGAAATTTCGTTGTTTGAGGCAAACAATACAGTATCGAAAATTCTTCGCTACTCAGCTGGGAATATCGGTCTTTTTTAGAATTTAATTTCTCTGGACCTAAATTTTGAATTGACAGGAAAAGAAAGTTCTCAAAGAATGAAATTGAACGCTTATAACAACCACCTGCCAAAGATGTGTGTCGGACAAAGGCAATTCCTTACTTGGATCATATGATGCTTCTTGGAGAATTCTGAGGGCAGTTTGAAAATCTTCCACAAGTTCGTCGTTTCCACGGCTTCAATGTGATATCTGTTAATGGTGATGTTGGTTTCTTTAGCATTCCGGAAAGCTGACATTTTTGCAGCCACTGGCGATTTATTTGGCAGATTCTTCAGAAGCTGAACTCGTTTCATGCCGTGGCGAGCTGCAGTTGCATTGACACCAGTGAGCCTCAAAATTGGCCCTTCCCCTTGGGCAAATACCAAGTGAGTTGTTCCATCCTGGTGATGAAGTTCAACACATGTGACACACGATGGGGCTCCAACCTTGTAATTCAAGTCACAAACTAATCAGGTCAGGTCAGGACAGGTGATACTGTACCTCGATTATGTAGTCCGTCGGGTCACAAGTCTCAAATTTACGGCGGTAAGAGAAAACA